TTTTATTTGTATCATATTGGATCAATGTTGATTGATGTTAGATAAGATATTTTAAATTTCAGTTATGCCATATTTGATTATAATGTTACTCTTTGTAACGATTTGTTAAAAAAATAAAACATTATATATATATATATATATATATATATATATATATAAGTTATTGAAGTAAAATAAATAAAAAATAAAAAAAAGTTAGGAAATTAGACTTAAAAAGAAAATAGAAGAAAGAAGATATATTTTATCTACATTTGTAACTCGTTAGAAAAAGCCACACTTAAAGCGACTTGTTTGTATATATCCACAATTATGATGAAGCTTACCTTTTCATATTTCTACTAGTTATTTCTGTCTTCCTTCCATCTTTCAGAATTCTTCCTTTGTTATTCAAAAAGGACAAAGTGGAGAATCAAAAGGTCATTGGCTAACTTGTATGATAAATTTAGAAATTTAATACATCATACCTCTATCCAGAGCTTATATTATCACTTCCAAATTGTAAATTTGTAAACTACCCATCATTATAATCACATGCACCTTAAATGCAGGGAATCTTGAAACTTTGGAAATTTACCAAGTTATCTTGCCACCAACACATACCTAAAGAAATTAATAAGAACTTATATTGCATAAGACCAATTAAATCAAACCATAAATAGAACAAAAATGCCCACTTTCAAGCCAGAAAGTGTGTCCACTTGTCTTGTAGATACTTGACAGAGTCTCTACATTTATAATATAGCTTTTTCTACATTATGTTCCTCTTCTGCCTTAAAATACCATAAAATCGATTGGTGGAGACACATCCATGTTTGTTGAATTACTTATTATTTTCTTTTTGTAACTTAGGGGGGTTGTTGGGGATGGGGGTTGCAAGAAACAGAAAAGCATATGAAATTACAGTTAAAATTAAAAGAACAAATGTGAGTTTAGTTACCATTTTATAGATTGAATTTTTTGCTTTTTCCCATATTATGCTATAACATTATATCTAAAAGTGATCGTCTTGTCTTGCTAAGGAACTAATAAATGTACTAAATTTACCAGTGAAGATCACCTGGTAATTATTTTTTTCAATTCTTTCCAAGTTATCTTTAATACCTTGAAGGTCTGTCATCCAAGCAATCCCTTGAGACCATATTACAAAGGTTCAAAGCTAAAGAAAAATATAACAGAATAAAAGAACAACAAATGCACAAAACTCAAGTATTCGACATTATGAGTGAAAAAGACCCTCACCAGCCAACAAATGGAAACGAAGATGGATAAGATTTCCATTTTATGCTTTGACTGTATCACCTCGCTTGTTCCAATCATGCCTGAGTAAGTCCCTTCAGAACTGGCTTGAATTGGTCACTCCTAATAAAAACAACAATAAATCTATGAATTAAAGAAATTATTAATCAAGTCCGCCCAATTTCACAAAGCATATTTAAGACTGTAACCTGGCACATAGTTAAGCAGCAACAAAAATCCCTGCATTGCAACACATATATACTGGATAACCAACAAATAAAAGTCAAATATTAAATAAGGGTGTAATATTGGAGTATTCTCGCTATAACGAGAGGGTCATAGGAGGAAGGTGTGAAACTATCGCCTTATCGCTGTAGCGAGAGGTCCCTCGTTGTAGCTACAAAGCGACAATTTGGAGTGCATTTCTGGGTGCAGTCTCGCTGTAGCGAGAGAGAGTGTCACAGCAGTGAGGAATTGCCTCCAAAGTCGTTCGTGAGTTAGATTGAAGGTTGGATTTGTGTTGGGAACGCTTAGATATGAGTTTTAATGGTTAGGATTTCAGTTTTCATCTCTCTTCTATGTTTTCTGAGTCTTCTTTGAGTTCTCATGGAGTTTTTCATGTGTTTTAGGGATGAAATTCGTGTGGAAGTCTTTTTCCTTGTCGATCCGTGTGTGAGTCTTCAATCTGAGGTAAGGGGAGACTCTACCCTATCTCATTATGTATGATTTACTATTTATATTGCTAAATATTGTAATGTGGTTGAGGTGGAGGGTAGAAAATATGTGTTGATGGAAATTATTATGTGGTTTGATTATGGGGTTGGCATACCCCTGATTGAGAATATGAGTAAATGTGTGTGTGTGTGTGAATGTCAATAATTGAATAACGTAAATGGTTAGAAATAGGTGTAGATGGCATGTTGAATGTAAATGTAAATTTTGTTGAAAATAATGTGTGATGTAATAAAGGCATACGTGCCAAGTGTTATAAATGAATGTGGGCTTATGTACTATGTAATGTGAATGACTATAGGCATTATGTCGTGTACTGTGAATAAATGTTGTTGGAAATGCGTGTGAGTGGGGCATGTTGAATGTCGTTGTAATGATGCTATGAATGGCTCAGCGATACACTAAAGGTGTGGAAGATGAGGATGGTAGAAATACTTTGGGGAAGAGAGAGTTGTGGTGAAACCAACAATGAGCGTGGGTGCACCACAGGCCACACACTCTCCTCCTGACTAGACCTCTGATCACTACCTTTGTCGAGCAACTTGTAACTGCCCACACGATATCCGTGAGGCGGGGTAACCAACGACCATTCGTGGTGTGAATCTGTGATCATAATGACACAATGAGTGTGGCTGCGTGCGGTGAGTGCACACGTGTCAAATGTTTTGGTGCCGTGAGTGCATTGATCATGAATTGAAATGAATTGCTAAACTTTGTTGTTTGAAATTATACTTGTGTAAAATGTATTATGAATAATGTGAAGTATATGTGAGGTGAGACTCTAAGTTAATTGTGTGTGTGTTGGATAATGTAGAGTACTCACTCTTACATTTATTTTTTAGGTAATCAAGATGATCAACACCGGATTCAGTGAAGGATGAATGAAACTGCTATAGGACTTAGAAATTTATTTGAAAATTTTGATGTACTCATTAAGTCTTGTAGCAACAATTTGATGCAAGTTGTAACCATCCTTATTTTGAAATATTTTAATGAACCATGTATAGAAAGGAAAAAAAAAAAAAAACTAATTCGAAAGAAATTTTATTTCATCCCATTTTTCTGAAATTTGATATTTAATGAAATTAAATTTAAGGTGTTACAACGTGAGGATAAGCAGGAGTTTTTAATGAATCATATATCCTTTATGGGTTATGTATATAGTGCAGTATACACATGATAGAATTATCTACATGATAACAAGTCTCTAGAGCACTCATGAACATCTAGGCATATGCATAGCCGAAAAGCATAACACAGCGTTAACAACAAAAGAAATGTATGGTGTAAATATGATCAAATAGGACTCTAATTTACATAAAAAAAAAATTATTGGTTCATAGAAGTTTTACTTCATCGATTACATTATTAATTAAGGTCTTATTTATCTGGATTTGGTTCATAGTCTAGAAAACACCAGACTCGAAGCATTTACATTCATGGTGTAACTTAGTTTTAAAAATAATTTATTTTATTATGTTACATTCTTTTGAAATAAGAAAGGGATTGTTGGAAATAATATAATTATATTTCAAAAGAATTTATTAATTATTTATTTTATTTTATTATTCTAATTTAATTGTTATTATTACTTATATCTTCAGTTATATATAACGTTTAGATGATCAATTATAGTAATTAAAAGTATTATATTTATTTCTCTGAGTTATGAATTAAGAGAAGTTTGCTAATTTTTTAGAATCTTGTTCATGCAGACAAGAAGAGTCTATTGTATTTTAGAAGATTCTTGACTACACTGAAATAATCTTTAAGGACAGTGTTTTACATGTCTCAGACTATATTGTTGACCAGCTATTTCGGGCCATTTTGACAACATTATACTTATCGTATTTAAATTTATGAGAAAATAATTTTATTTGACCTAGAAACATTTATAGTTTAATAGAACTAACTTTCTTGACAAAGGTTTTTTATATATACAAAACTTGAACTTGAGGCTTAATTAGTTGGACCATAACCATTTAAGGTTTGAGCTTTGAATATATAAAAAAATCTCTGTTGAGAAAGCTATCTCCACTATAATATAAATATTAATAACTTATCAAGATTTTCTTTTATAAATTGTAAAGTTTACGCTATTATGTAAAAGACTTTCTTGCCAACTATTTAAATTAATCATCAATAAGAAATGTTATACAACATAATTTTTAATATTGACTGAAATGTATTAAAAATTATCTAAATTTCACTCAGTTTAATAATTTTTTATATATTTTTATAATTTTAGTCTATAAAATATATATATATTTTTAAAAAGAACTCTCTTAATAGTCAACATAGTAAATATATTTCTTGCCGTGTCAAACATTTGTTTGCTGTGTAAAAGTACCCTTGTACTTTCCGCCAACCTCTGTTTTACTAAATTATTATTTTTGTACAACACAAACATGACCATGCAGCTAGATTAATTCATGCATTGTGTCAAATGTACATCGATGCTTACAACATCAAAATTTATTTATTTATTTAAAAAAGAGAATAACGAATTATTAATTATAATGAATATTTGTTTACGTGAAATTTTTATAATTTTCATCTAAATTTAGTGCTGGATCTCGATTCAGAGAAGGAGATCACATAGGCAGATTCTTCAATAAATAAGTACTTTTGGATAGGAAAAATAAATAAATCTTAAAGATTGACTAAGAAAGCAAATTGCAAAATAAAAAGACAAAATAAGAGAAAAGAAAAATTAAAAAAAAATTACTGAAATTGAAATAGTGATTTAAAATAAATGCGGTTGAGAATTTACTTGAGAATCTACATTTGCATCTCACTTAATATTATCCAAAATACAGAAAATACACCTAAAGATATTCTTCTTGAGATAGATGTTGAACAAAGATTAGTTTGGAGTATTGGTGATGATTGATACGCAATGCAACAACCGGGCATTACTGTCACGACAATTATTACATTAGTGTGGATAACTTGCGTGTTCAGAACATTACAAACAGATAGGAAACAGACATATCATGGGTATGTAACAAAGATTTCATTATTCTTGCATTTTACATGGTCGGGTAATAGGCCCAAGCATTCATTCCACATACCCCATATGGCAAACCACTGTTCCTTTTGATCCATATATAACCGTTTATTCCCCACTCTGTCCCCCATGAATTTTTTACCATCCAAAAATCTTCACCATTTTCTGAATCATAGCCCACAACTAACACGCAGTGGTTAGTATATTTTGATGATGATGTACACTGGTGACCATCGAATATGCCCTAACAATCCATTCAATAGGAAAAAAATATATGAACAATGATGCTCTTGAATCTGTAAAAACTAATATAAAAGACTTACAGATTTGTATAGTTGAAAATCGGTTGCATTCAAACAAATACTGATAGGCTGCTTAACTGTAGCACACAAGAGTCCCTGCTCTGATTGTTCTACTTGTCCATACCCATTAATGCTTGCTTTGATTGGAACCTGCATGGGGCAAAAGTTGTGAAAATTAAAAAATAAATAAAAAGAAGTGGGAATTTTATTATGGAAGGAACAAGAAATTGATAGAAACAAAACCTTGTTGGCATTGCAATTACCACCATCCACTCCTGTATATGGATAATTGGCTTCTAAAGTCATCCCTCCATTGCTTATAACCCAATCAAATGCTTTGTTAACAAATCCTCCATTACAACCATAGCTTAAATGGTCACAATCAACAAGTTCTTGTTTAGATAGGCTTATAAGTTCTCCAGTAGTTATTGCATGTATTCCTTCAATGGCTCCACTAGCTGAAAATGCCCAGCAACTTCCTATAACAAATTATAAGCTTTTATTTTACTTTATTGTTATTTTAAAGGTAATTATATAATAATAATTTACTAAACTATATTTTTAATCTTTTTATTATGACTAATATATAATGTTAATAGATAATTTCAGCTACAATATTTTTTTCATTTCATTCGACTCGGATTGCACACTTAAATTGTTGGGTGAGTTTACTAGAGATTTTTTATATATATAAAAATTTGAATATGAGACATTGTATAAGCGATACTAAATCATTTATCATCGGACTACCCTCCATCGGTGATCATTTAACATTTTAAACATTCACCATAAACTAAATTGAATAAAAAATTTTAAGTCTCGGTAAAAATAATAGATTTCATTCAAAATATAACAAGCAAATCCTAAATTGTTCCCTCTTCAAAATTTCAACTTTATTTCTTACGAGTTTTACAAATTTTCAAATTACAAACCATTTATTGCCTTAAACCCATTTAAAAATTACCAATTACTTGAGTGTAAAACTGACAGAAGAACTTTGATTGTCGTAATTAAAACAATTATGCGACGAAAGTTGAAAAAAAAATCATTAAGAGACCAAATTTATTAATTATAATAAAAATTAAAAAATTGTTTGAATTGATTTATTTTTTTTACACTTTTTTAAGATATTAGAAACCATCAAAATTATATTGTATCTCCTTAAACTTGTTCAAAAGTGAATACAGGTGTGTGAACTTGACTTTTTTTATATATATTTTTCTGTTTTGAATGCAGCTTTTGTCGTTTTTCAAATCTTGTAAACTTCAAAATCTTCTAAATTGTACCATCAAAATGCATTTGTCATCATAATAAATATCAAGAAACAGAAAAGTAAATGCCATTATTATTATTATTATTATTATTAATTAACAACATATCCAATATCAATTAGATCATCGGTAGCCAGTTTTTAAAAAACCAATCTCATAAAAGAGACAACAAAAAACAAAAAATAGCACACGAGTCCATAATGCAATTTATAATAGGATTAGCACAATCTGAAGCAGAAGCCACCAATTTGATTTTGCATGACCGCTAATCTTAAATTTGCAACCACCTTCACCGAAAAAAAATTAAATAAACTGCACGTTACTTTAATAAAACATGCCGAATGCTTCATAAGAAATTTTCAAACATTAATTGGAGGCACTGTGAACCTGATAGCTTAATTAAAAGCATGCAGTGTTAAGATACTATTCACACAAGTCTTGAAACAATACAAACTTACCACAACTCCCTTGGTTCTTAACATCAGTCACAACCCCATTTTTCCTCCAATCTAACGATGAAGGTGCAGTGCATGATAAATCATTGTCATTCAGCTTCGACCCACTATTATTATTGGGCATTTCAAGGTCGTGTAAGTATGTTTCTTTGAACTCACTGGGGCTCCAGTCAGCAAAATTGTTCAGCCCAAGCAGGTAACCAGAAGGGGACCTTCTTTTTGCATTTGTCTCAACGATATAGTTCAAATTGGACAAAAATATCTCAAATCTATGTGCCATCTCTTTTGGGTCTTTATAGACCCGTCCATGCTCACTTTTCCATAGTTGGAATAGTTGCATTGCTTCGTCTTGTGAAGGAACCTTGTCCAAGTTAGGGCCCAATATGGTGTACTGGGTTTGGATACTAGAACTTGAAGAGAGGCATAGGAATGAAATGAATATGATGAAAAAGAGACAAAACTTTGAGGTCTGAGAGATCATCGTTTACTCAAACTAGTGATTTTGTCTATAAGAAAGTTTTTATCTGCTTCCCTAGTATATGATTTTACGTATTTATAGTGTGTGAATGTTGAAGAGGAATCAAATGTTAAGAATTTCTCATGCAGCTCTGTTCAACAAGTAAACGAAAAATACATTGGATAAGTATGTCACTAAATGACCCCAAAAAAAAGCATGTCCCACGAGGCTCATCTATTTGTGGAAGAGTGTTTCAACCCATGAATCAATGTATACAATAATAAGAAGAGAAAAATAAATTATATATATATATATTATAATAATAATAACAATAAACAATAAATAATTTTTTTTTCCAGTGTAAGTTTAAAAACTTTTAAATTCAATTTAAACTTTTTATTTAACTTAATAAATTATAACCTGTTAAATATAAATTAAATAAAAAACTCACATCAAATATAAGAAATTTTAAATTTATATTGTAAAAAAATATTACTTTATAATAAATAATTTAATATTATTATAATATATATTAAATATAAAATATTTATATTTTCACACTTACTTATTCTTGTATTAATTTTTTATCTTTTCTTTTCTTTCTCTGTTTGTCTTCTTTCTACCCATCTCCACACTCTACTATGACATAACATCCTAAATATATACAATATTATTGAAACATATATAAATTATAATTGTATATGTATATATTTCTCCATCTAGATAATGTCTATTTATTATGCGTGCCTTTTTCTAACAGAAAAGGACCTAAGTGCAAGCAACAATCCCATCATGTTGCGTCGTCTCAAGCAAATTGCTGATATTAATCTTTTCATTTCAGATTTCATTACTTCTTTTTTTTTTCCTTTTTGATTTCACTACTTTTTTATTCATTACAAAATAAATCCCTTGTATTTTCCTCTCCCGTTATAAGTGATTTAACATTTTACAAAGAGCATAAAAAGAACGATCCAAAAGTTATAGCAACTCACATTTCTCTTTTTATGATTGCCACACGTCACTGTAAAATTTTTATTTATTAATAATTTAATATTAAATTATACAATATTATTAACATTTTTTAATGAAAACAAAATTATTATTATAAATATTAGAAATTAATACTAATTATATAAAATATTATTTTAATAAATAGTTTATATATATAGATATATAATTTTTTAGACTCATTTGATGAATATAATATAATAACAAATAATAAGATATGGAAATAAATAAATGATATGATAAGAGTAAACTTCTTCTGTCCTATCTTATGTTTAATGTATATCATAATAGTAAAATAGATAGTATTTTGTCATTCTTTTTAATGTTTGAAATAAATAAAAATAATAGAATAAAATATAAATCATATTTAATAATAAAATTAATATTTTATCAAATTTAATAAATTTTTTAAAAATAATTTCTATTAAAAATTTTAATTTTTAATATACTAAACCCTAAACCCTAATTTTTGAAAGGTTATTATTAATATATTTTTGTAGTTAAATTTTTTAATAATTTACATCCATACAAATAATTTTAACTTACATAATTTACGATTTTTTAGTCATCTAATATGTTTTAAATAGTTGTAGAACTAATTTTATAAAAAAAATCAATTTATTTAATTTATTATAAATTATAAAATTTCGACTAACTTATCAATTATAAATTTTTACTAATTTTATCAAATATAATTTTAATACGAAAGAATTCACATATTGCACGGAGTTATCTACCTATTTAAATGAATATAGTTGTTAATATATATGAGCGTCTTCAGTTTATTCTTGTGATGGTTTGGTAAGCAATCGTGAGGTCATTGAAACTAAAATCTCAATAAAATCTCCATAAATCTGGGCAAGAAAAAAAAACTGCAAATGATTCAATATAATTACCATGTCTGATATCATGTCAAAATTATAAGAAAAAAATATATGAATATTATTTTATTAATATTAGAGTTTAATTTCAATACATCATTAATATAAAATTTTTTATACTAATAATTAATTCAAAATTATTTTAAGCTTTTAATATTATTATTATAAAAATTAATAATATTTAATTACATGACAATTTATAATAAGATGATAATATAAAAACTTATTTTACTGTCAATATATTCTAATTAAATTCTAAACGTGTATTGTGTTCTGAATAAATTTTGTTAAAGAGAAAGATAAATTGAGAATTATTAAAAATAATATCTTTAGTTATTATAATTATTTTGAAGATATACTTAAAAGTATTAATTTTTATTTATCTATTTTATATATTTAAAATAGTAAAAATATTTTCACAAAAATTATAACCTTTAAATAATAAAAATTAGCTCCAAAAAACCGTGAACCGAGAAATGTTTCATCAGCGTTCCGCCAAATGCAAATGAGGAAAACAAAATCAGTGTGCATTTGGAATGAATTTATACTGTTATAAGAGTTGCGTGAAGTTCACGATGGCATGGCACGCGTTATGTGCCGAGGTCATCTGGTGTTAAAGGTTTAAATAAGTTGAGATACTTGTAATCTATTTAAATTTGTTAAATATTGCGTCAACTTTCTATATTTAGTTAAAAAAAATATGTTTAAACGTGAAGTTCATTTGAACTATTTAAATACGATAAGATTAAGTGTTAAAAGTTTCACATTAATAATTTTAAGAGAAAAAAAATTCATCATTTCTTTACTTGAAATATTAAATTTAAATATTTACATATTTTAATAATATTTTATATAATATAAAATTTATTAATTTAACAATTGATATTTATTTATACTTTAATAACATATTATATATTAAAATAAAATAATTTAATATCTATTTTTATATAAAATTTTATAAATTTAATTTACTTAAATTATATATATATATACACATACATATTAACTTATCTGATGATTAAATTATCTTATATTATATATTATTTAATAATTTTTTATCAATTTAAAATTATTTAATTTTTTATTTATGTACATCAAAATTAACATAATACATATTTAAATTTATATATAATTAATTTATTATATATATATATATATATATATATTAAAATCAGTGCTCATACATGTTAAAATTAGATATGTATTAAATTTATATAATTAATTTAAATAAATAATTAAAAATAATTGTTGATATCTTAAAAAATTTTATAAATGTAAGCAACATTAACTTTTGAAACTTTATATACAATTTTTTTTATTTTTTCTCAAACATAACAATATAACTATAATAAATTGTTAATTTTGCTTTATTTCTTTAACAAATAATTTAATTAAAATTAAAATATGTTTTTTATCAATAATTAAATTTTTTTAATATTAAAATTATTTTTTAGATAATAATTTTTAAATTTTTAAACTAAAAAATATGGTGAGAAAATTATTTTATCATTATGATATATTTTCTTCATAAAAATTATATTATAAAAGTGCAACATGAAAGTTTAACTAAAGTAAAATTATTTTTTAATTTTATATATATATATATATATATATATATATATATTCTTTTATATACTTTTTTTTTTTTTTTGCTATTAAAGAGAGCTAAAAACTTAGAAAATCGCACAAACTAGGGGATAAAACTAGGAGTCCAAATATCATAAGTATCCAAATACAATATAAGAAGAAGAACACTAGGAACTTGGTTAAAGGTGACTAAGGGTGAGCGAAATTTCAGGCTAATTTTGGCTACTTTATCAGTATATTGGTTAGTTTTTCTAATAATATGACTCATTCTAATAACTAATATTGCGTAAATTGTCCTTAATTTTACAAATTACAAGGAACAAGTAGTAAGAACTATCAGAGATAGATTGGATGTTTCTAAATGCATCTCCAAAATCAGTTTCTATATTGAAGGCCATTGTAAATGCTCTAGAGTTCCCCCTCTAGTAGGGAGTAGGGGCAGAAACCTGTAGAAACGAACCACCAATTCACCCTTCTAGTCATGGAAAATACCTCCACAAGTAACCTCAGGCAGATGAGCACAAACAGCTCCATAAGTGTTCAATTTTTGCTAGCCCCTCGAAGGAAAGAGCCACTTAATTCTAGCATGGTCCCTAGCCAGATTGGGGAGCTAAAATTGCCTGTTCCTGCAACAAAAATTAGAATATTCAGTATCCTGAAAGATTTTATGAATTAGAATAGAAATTTGGTCAAAAGAATTATGAAACACATAAGTATATCTATCTTTTCACAGGTGCCATAAAGTAAATCCAAAAAATTACCGCCAATCAAATAAACCTACAGAAAAAAAAAATCAGGTCCATTGATAACAGAAAATAAAATGAATCTAAATACTTCTAGTACAGTAACAATTCCTCAAAATATGCATCAAGGTTTCGCGGACATTATCACATATATACTCTTAAATCAATAAACAATACCATTTTTTATAGAACCATCTATATAGTTTTTCTAGAAAAAAATAATCAACTAACAAATAAAAGAATAAGTGAACCAAAAAAAAAATTTATATAGAGTAACACATAAACGATGAAATAAAGATAATTTTTCAAAGTAATAAAATATTTTATCCGGGTCTTTTTCAAAAATAAATTTCAAAATAAAAACTAAATATAATAATTTGATTTTATAAGAGGTTAAGAAAATAGATAAAAATTAATTCAAAATTAAAATTTAAAATTTTAATTTTTAAATTTAAAATCAAATTTAGAAATGGTCAAAGTAGTTTGTAAATTTTTAAAAGAATGGATAAGAAAAAAAAATTGATTACTGGTCATCGAAAAATAAAGAGTCATGAATGTTGGAGTCTTTATTAAAATAAAACATAAATAAATAATTATATATTAAAAGAGATCTAGGGTTTCAGAAAGTGCCTATAAATAGAAAGCTTAAGTCCTCAGAGAAGATGACGACTTTTGAATATGAAAACAAAAAAGAGAGAATTGAGACCTTTTTGAGGGGGAGAGAGATAGAGAGAAAAAAAAGAGAAAATTGAAACATCTTTGAAATAGAGTTCTAGAGAGAGTCTAGGAATCAAAAAGCAAAAGG